ATCAAAAATTTATATCTCATCCCAAATTTCAAAACTCTTTCCTAGTATAAATCCCTGCTGCATTCACTGCCTTTCCTCCTCTTTATTACACACACACACACACACACACACACACACACACACGTATCCCTTTGGCGTAACAAAGGATCAAGTGTTCCACTGGACTGCCCAGACCATTACTGACAAAACCAAGCACAAAAAAATTGAAACAAAGGACAGAGAAAGAGGGGGATGGAACATGGAGTATAAAAAGGAAATAGGAAACTCTAAATATAAAACGCAGGAAGGAGTTTTATATGTACATATATACTGTACGTAGAGAGTGTGGCATGAAGGAGGTAGCAGCACAGAGAAAAGCTTATTCCCCATCCTTCATGTGACCTTAAGCAACAAGACTTCCACTTTTTAGCTCTCTCATTCTCTCAGTCACACACAATGGGACATGGGGAGGCCAGGCTTTGATGTTGGCACAATAATCTCAGTCCCCGGAGAACGTTAGATAGAGAAGGCGGAGCAAAGGATAGCCCTGAAGGGAGTAGAAATACACAAGTTGGTGTGTGTGGAGTGTAGACTGACTCAAATGATGGAGGCAGGCACGCACAGACCCAGATAATGACCCAGCTGCCAGTAATCACTTTTAAGGTCAAGGTATGCAACGGCATTTCCTTTTTCCATTTAATGGAGCCCATTTAGCATGCATATATACAATTATCTCATTCAAAAACCTTGTGAGCTGCATACATAGGCAGCATTTTAGGGCATCACAGACACACTTCAGACACAAAGGGTGTTCAAAATGTCGGCTAGTTAATTAAGATACCTAATTTTATCCAAAGGCAGCAGTACGTGATCCCATAATGCACTTCGAAAAATGATTTCAAAATGGTGGATAAGGCAAGAGGAATGTTTTTTATAGATTAGTAATTTATTCAATACTGAAAAATGCTGATGAAAAATGTTCTGTGCAATGAAAAATGTATTATTTTACTTGTAAATGAATGTATTTATGTAGTAAATATGTAGTAAATGTAAATATGTATATGTAGTATCTAGGGACATGCTAGGTTTTGGAACAGAGCTAAAACACCAATGTAGCAAGAAAACCAACAAATCAACATTTCCAAAATTAGACTTTTATTGGTCATTTGGGCTGCAATGGGTCATAATATCAACAAGTAATTGCAAACAGAGCCCACAGAACTCAGGACAGCCATCATTCATTAAAAAGCTGTTAATCATCTTATGGCTGAGCCTCATGAGTGGACTGGCCTTGTTCTTCCATCCTGTTCTTTCAATTGGCCCTCTGACGGCATCCAGTGATACACACACACGCACACACCAATACGGTTCTCTAACAGGCAGAGACGATTATGATGAGGGCTTCGGTCCACCTTTACAGTTTAGCTCAAACATGAAGATCCCGAAGGATCGTGCATTTAGGAGTATGGCCTCAAACGTCAGTTGATCCATGAGAGTGGCCCGGGGGAGAAGACAATGGAAATGCAGAACGTAGCAGAGAAGAACAAAGGAAGCGGAAGGTCAACAAACTTAAGAACAAAGATAAAAATGGTCATAACTACCGCATTTTTGTAAAGTGTTCTAAGACTTGATTGATTGATTGATTAAAAAAGTCTCCAAATCTCCAATTAAAAAAATAAATAAAATATAATGTAATTTTTTACTGTAATTCTTTACAGAACTAAAATTTCACAACATAAATTTATGTTTAACATACGAGTAGGCATATAATATTTAAGTATTTAATCAAAGGATGACTCCCTAAGCATCTGCAGAGGTGTGGGCTAAGCCTGTCCACTAAAGACATTTTTTTTTTTTTTTACATATATCTGTATTCTGTAAAAAAACAAAACACTGCATAAAAATGTACTGCACAGAAGAAGCTGCTTAACAGATAGGCTATTTATAAGACCAAATAATAATAGGCCTACCAAGGGTATATGTAAAGTTTTTATCAGCATAATTTGTGAATATATCTGTTATGTCAAATATCCTGATTTATCTTATTTAAAACGTACAAACAAAAAGATACAAATGCTCATACAATTGGTACAGTATGTAAACATATGAACAGAAATGTATATCTCAACCCAAATTTTAAATCTCTTTCCTAGTAAATCCCTGCTGCACTCACTGCCTTTCCTTCTGTCTATTATTCTCACACACACACACACACACACACACACACACACACAGACACACAAGTTGGTGTGTGTGGAGTGTAGACTGACTCAAATGATGGAGGCAGGCACGCACAGACCCAGATAATGACCCAGCTGCCAGTAATCACTTTTAAGGTCAAGGTATGCAACGGCATTTCCTTTTTCCATTTAATGGAGCCCATTTAGCATGCATATATACAATTATCTCATTCAAAAACCTTGTGAGCTGCATACATAGGCAGCATTTTAGGGCATCACAGACACACTTCAGACACAAAGGGTGTTCAAAATGTCGGCTAGTTAATTAAGATACCTAATTTTATCCAAAGGCAGCAGTACGTGATCCCATAATGCACTTCGAAAAATGATTTCAAAATGGTGGATAAGGCAAGAGGAATGTTTTTTATAGATTAGTAATTTATTCAATACTGAAAAATGCTGATGAAAAATGTTCTGTGCAATGAAAAATGTATTATTTTACTTGTAAATGAATGTATTTATGTAGTAAATATGTAGTAAATGTAAATATGTATATGTAGTATCTAGGGACATGCTAGGTTTTGGAACAGAGCTAAAACACCAATGTAGCAAGAAAACCAACAAATCAACATTTCCAAAATTAGACTTTTATTGGTCATTTGGGCTGCAATGGGTCATAATATCAACAAGTAATTGCAAACAGAGCCCACAGAACTCAGGACAGCCATCATTCATTAAAAAGCTGTTAATCATCTTATGGCTGAGCCTCATGAGTGGACTGGCCTTGTTCTTCCATCCTGTTCTTTCAATTGGCCCTCTGACGGCATCCAGTGATACACACACACGCACACACCAATACGGTTCTCTAACAGGCAGAGACGATTATGATGAGGGCTTCGGTCCACCTTTACAGTTTAGCTCAAACATGAAGATCCCGAAGGATCGTGCATTTAGGAGTATGGCCTCAAACGTCAGTTGATCCATGAGAGTGGCCCGGGGGAGAAGACAATGGAAATGCAGAACGTAGCAGAGAAGAACAAAGGAAGCGGAAGGTCAACACGGAATCCTTGACGAAGGACGTCAAGCCATGAAATCAGAGAACGGACAAATGGAAGGTCATTAACTGGGCCGAAAGGGCGAAACCAAAAAGGAATGTTACACATTACGTAAGGGGAGGAATGAATGAAAACAACGGGTATCTGGACCAAACTTCTGTCTCACTTATTCGCTTTAGTCTCCATTGAGGTGGGCATTTCTTTATTTGTGTGTAAATAAATTTCAGAAAGACTGTTTTATACGGAAAAGATAAAAACATGCAAAAATCCTTTTGTCTGTAGTCCAAATTATACATATACAAGTTCTTCACGCCCTGTTCTTCTTCGTAGACTACATCAAAAGAGGAGAAACAAAACAAAAACTATGTACACACCATTTAATTTACAGTGGAGTAAAGAATGAAAGAATACCAGGCATGAAAGAATACCAGGATGACTAAGGCAGATGGCAGATGAAAAAAAAAACAAAAAAAACCCTTTTCATTTACAAAATACTAAATCACTTCAAAAAAACTGCAGAGAGAGAGAGAGAGAGAAAAATAAATGAACAAAACAAAAAGTTCTGCTACCAAATAATAACGCTCGTCTCCCATTTTGCAACCGGCTGCATAAGTTAACGTTTTGGTGGAAAAATGGTGAATATATATGTAAAAAAAATTGAAAACGCAACAAAAACGAGAAACTGAAATCTAGTTTCTAGCATACTGTACAAAGCTGTTCTCTCTGTCTAGACGCTCTCACTCTTCCAAAGTCTTTGTTTTCATACGTGACGTGAACGAACAGCGTGATGGTGAGAAACGCAAACAGAAGCGTGTAGAAGCATCAACGTTATAAACAGGCTCACGACAAAAAAACACTCCAAAACTCTGAGCCACCAAAGCCATTGAACAGAAAAACAACATAATCAGATCAAATGAACAAAGAACGAAAAAGAAAGGAAAAAGTAAAAAAAAAAAAAAATGTACAAAAAGGCACGTAATATCCCAGTGCTTCTGTACTGTGAGATTCAAGTGTAACTTAGCATTCATTTAACGTTCTTTAAGCGTTCCTTCATACGTTTCGTACTGATGATCCTTCAAACTTAGGGCGAAAAAATCCTGGACTGAACCAAAACTAGGCAGATTTCCTTCATTAGACCCCCTCCGTCTACAACAGAGGGCCTTGGAGAGACCTGGTTTTGTTGCCATGGTGATCTTCCTTCCACTTTCTTGTCTCTTCGTTTCTCAGTCTTCATTCTCTGTCTCTCTAGGGTATATTGGTTTCTTCATTGTTTTGATTCTGCACACTGTCCACGTCCCGCGATAAAAAAAAAGTGCCACACTGTTTTTTTGATGTTTTTTCTTTGAATTTTCCTCCTCCTCCGGATAGAAGGTCCTCTGAAGTTTAATCTATGATCCATCTCATAATTACTATGAATTTATTAGAATATGGTAGTCTTCAAACTTTATAAATGCTAATATATTACCATTACTCTCATTTTTTAAATTTTTGTTATTTTGGGGGGGGGGGTCGCTTATTTGCATGTCTTGTCTGTAATAATTATAACAAATATTATACAAAACATTAGAAAATACAAGCAAAGTGCGCAAATACTGAATTATGTACTTCTTTAGCCAAAAAAGCCAATGGGTTGAACACTCAACGGTCATTACGGTCACTTTACTTATAAAGCTAAAATTTAAAACGCCATTTCCTTCCAACTGCAAACGAGTAGCACTAAGTGCAGCATTTCGGACACAAATTTAGATACAAAACATAAGACACAAACTTTCTATATGTACAACATTTATGGGCATGGACAAATTCAAATGTTTGATTTACATGTGCCCAACCAATTTTGGTAGTGAATCAAACACCCAAATGCACATTAAATTTGAATGTTTAAAATGCCTCTAGTGCCCAAAAATGTGGCCTAGGAAGACAGCTCACTTGGCTTTGAAAGCCTGCCATATTGTACAAATAAAGTTCTATTCTTGGCATAACACTGTCCAGGCAGAGTGCTACAGACTAAACACTGTATAGACGTTCAGTTGACATAATTCTGAATCCTGAAGTCGCTTGTCCAAACAAATCTTTCTACAGACATAAAACGGCTACAAACCAAACTCGTAAGTGAACATTTTTGTTGGAATGCTAAAAAACAGCTAAAAATCCAAACTGCCGGGTTTCTTTAAAACACAGTTCGGTCAAACAGATTGGCAAATGCTGCCGTCTACAAAGCCTGCCTGTCTTTTAAGTGAGGCTGATTACATTTAGCAGTAATGTTTAATTCATTACCTGATTTAAGCAGTTTCTCGCTAATCTCACACTGCTTTGAGCGCAGTCGCATTGCTTAGAGCCTGTGAGGTCTGCATGTATGCGTGGGAGGGCACACATCCACAGACTGTAGCATGAGATATTGAATCCCTGAGCCTGGCTAATGATCAACAAAACTAAAAGGACCATGGTCCAATTAACCAATCAATCACCATTAGGTCTTATCACTGGTGCCATCGAGCCATTTTATATGGCGCGACTTCGGAAGAGCGGACGCATGGCGTACCTCGTGGATGAACTCTCCTATGTCTCCAGGATGGGGTGCGGCTGATCGGATGGGATAGTTGGCCTCGGAGTGCATCGGTCGCTCGTCCAGCCGGCGGATCCCGACGGGCTTGATCATGTCTGGCTCCAGAGTATCGGGCTGCTGCAGCTGGCTCAGATCATAGTCCTGAAGAATCACAGATAGAGGGAAGAGTCAATCACAAATAGGGTTAGAGGTCTGCTCAAAGCCCTTGGTTTTCTGGAAACATCTGCATGGAGAACAAAGAACGTTTTGACCTTAGAAATGTAATTTAAGTTTGCTTTGTTCCATATGAAGGATATTCATGTGGGGTTTCTTTTCAGAAGGTAGCTAAAAACCTTCCTCGTCGAAAATGTTAGAATGTCCTATATATATATTTTTTTTATTCTAAAGATAAATATTTTTACTTGTTTGTTTCTTTTAGGTAAGCAAGTAGTTAAAATGAGTATAAAATTGTTTTTGTATACAAACAGTCAAAGTCTTTACTTAGCTAGTTGATAGCCAAAAATATTCTTTGATTTCTGATACATACATATACATTGTGCAGTTGGGCTGCTGTTTTCAAGAATTAGTTGAAAAAGAAAATGCCAATAAAAATAACCATAGTTGAAGGTTAAAACAACAGAAATGGATATGAAAGGAGGTCAGAATATACCTGCCTTTTACAAGATGACACACGTCTGTAAGTGCTCATGGTTTATGGAGTATTTCTTTGAAAATGCTAGAACACTCAACCATGTGCAAGATGTAGAAGCAGGTGGAAAAAACACAGTGTACCCCAGGCTTAAGTACATTACTAATGGACTTTTTTAGATTTAATGTTTTAATTAAATCTAAAAATGCCAAATGGTACCTGTGGGAGTTAGTTCATATCATTAACTCATAAAAACCATAGAAAAGTCTCCAAACTGATAAAATACAAATCTGAGTGTTTTGTGTGTGTCAGTTGTGCAAAAACCAAAGTTTGGCTCAAATGCAAATCTGTGAGTCTCACACATACTCACACCACCAGGCAAAGCAGGAACTGTTGCATCCATTTAAATTTAGTCACTTTATAATGACTTGCAAAACGAATGCTCAAAATTGGTCATCAAGATTACAAACTGCACCACGCAGCTCAAAAATTAAAATCGTGAACATTTAACGACTGGTTAAAATGAAACTTTTAAAAATGTTTTTATTAAACAAGCTAGATTGTCTCGAGTAATTCTGAGCTGGAATAATTGTGTATGCCCAGCAGCAGCAGCAGCAGCAGCAGCAGCAATAGAGAGGGAGTGCATGTACCTGGTCTTCCTCTCCGCCGCCTTCCTCGTCGTATTTGAGTATGTTGTCTCGCACATCGTCCTCTGGATCGATCAGCAGCTGCTTGGCCTGTCTCTCTTTATCCCGTCTCTTCATCCACATCACAAACATCAACACCAGCACTGCAGAGAGAGACAGAAAGTGAGAGATAGATCAATATAAAACGAGCAAAATGACTTGAGATCAGACAGTTAAAGGTGCAGTGTGTAATTTTTAGCACCACAAACCGAAATCGACGTTTCGCTAAGTTCAGCCATCCTCAGTTACTGTTGCTCGTTCAGACAAGTTATATTTTCGTGTAATTTTTCCATAAAATTAGCTCACTAGGTAGTAAAAATTGGATTCTGCTATTATTCTGTGATATTATTCACGTCAAAGTATTTAATCTGCTGTTTTTTTTAGGTTAATAGGTAAATTATGTAAGTAAAGTGATTTAAAACTGCAGAGACTGCGCAGTTAATCTCAAGCTATGTTTCCATCCATATTCCAAATTTAATTTAACGAAAAAACAGGTTTTACATACCATGTGTTTGAGAGAACAAAATTGTCACTTTCACAGAAGTTTGAGCAAAACAGAAATGGAAGTTGTGGCTATTGGGAAAACTACCGTGGCTCTTTTATTAAATGTAATAAATTACTTTAGAGAGCAGAGACAAAACATTCTGAAAAATGTCGTCGCTTTTGAATGACGACAGAAGCTAACAAACTGTTTTGTAAGGTGACAGTAGCCAATCGTTTTGACGACAGGCTTTGGCTCCAGTGTTTCTTGAAGACCAGAGCCAAATTTATGAAATGATATTGGTCTGAAGTGAATTGTTCAATCACATGACTCTAGGCACATGAGGCACAATGTGTTTCCATCGTAGTTTGTTTGTCTTCTTGCTGAATAAAACATTCATCCACCCCAATAGAGCTTATACGTTTTTTTTTGCACATTTTAGAAATTGGATTTACCTCTTGGTGTTTCCATCCAACATTTTTTTAAATAAAATATAAAATAAAATATTAAATATTAAATAAAAATCCATGGATGGAAGAGAAAGGCATTGATTTAGATTCAACTGATAACACTGGTGTAAGTGAACAGAACTGTTCCAATCCTTTCTACAACAGCCTCACTATGAAATCTTTTGTGACTCCAAAAGCAGATCACATGTGCTCGGCAGAAATGTGACCAACTGATAAGAACTCCACTGCCTGGAAGAAACAACCTCTGTCTAGTGTGTCTTACCCAGCAGAATGATGATGCAGATAAGTATGGCGATGATGGCTCCGGTGCCCAGCCCAGCTGCCATGATGCGTTCCATGTCCACGCAGTCACCGTGATGATCGCACTGACACACTTTGATGCGCAGGTAGGTGGTGTTGGACATGGGCAGGTTACCAGAGTCCGTGATGCTGATGGGCAGCTCATATATCCCGCTTTCCAGGTAACTAATCTTCAGACTTAACTGAGCATGATCGCCTACAAACCAACCACAAAACACATGAGATAAAGTCTGGCAATAAGAATTAAGTAATTGTTAATCCCAGAGAAATCTTTTCCACGTGGCGTACCACTGATTCGAGTCAGTGTCCAGTTCCTGCGGAGGTCAGAGGGTCGGTTGGGCAGTTCGAAAGCGTAGGGCCCAGCGTTGGGGTTGAGATCTCCGTCTACGGCTGTGATATTGATGGCATTGGGTTCCGGGCGCTCGCACACTTCTGTTTCTTGAGGGAAGACTCGAGGTGCATTATCGTTTATGTCCAGCAGGTAGATCTGCAGAGTACCCGTTCCACTCGCAGGGGGAACACCTGTCGATGGACAGAAGGAAAAAGGGGAAGTCAATACAAGCATAAGCTATGTCCCAATTCAGAGGCTGCATCCTTTGAAGGCTGCATTTGAAGACCGAATGCGTCACCAATTCCAAACCAATTTGAAGACTCCATCAAATGCAGTCTCAGAATGCGTCCTTTGTTTCCCGGGCCATGAAGAATACAACAGATGGATCCTTCACGGCCAACACTATTGCAAGATTCAATGTACGACAGGATTTTTTGAGAGAAAATGCTGGATTACATTTTTAAATGTAAGCATTGCGTTTCAACGTAATCGAATATCAAACAAAACAAATGTTACAAAAAAGAAGAAAAAAACACTTTAAAGTGGTTTAAATGTTGACATATCTCAGTAAAATGCGATTTTATAGATTTATAGATTATGTACATAAGTGGTCCAAGGTAAACAAATTTAGACAGGCTGTGCACCCTATTTTTTCAGACAACTCACTGACGCCACACATCAGCGGCAGCTGTCACATGCTAGGTAAACACTCAGTTTTACCCTTGTGGTCTTTGAAGTCAATAAATAGTTCACAATAAATAGTTGAATAGTTGAAAAAGTTGAATTTTAAAATTTAAAATTCAAAACACTATTTTCAACATGTAGTTTAAAAAATGTATCCTACACGACA